AGGGAGCTTGGCATAAGTCTTGGAAGTTTCCTTCTGAGTGCTTGAAAACAAAACAAAGAACACTGTAGGCTCATATTTTCATAATATCTTAATTTTTTTAAAAAAATTAAATAAATAAATAATTAATCTGGTGATTTCCGAAGGTAGAAAACTGACCAGTCCTCATAGATTCATTCCTATTTTGAATAGATAGTGATTAGGTGACGGGACCTGAAAACCTTTTCTCAACCCTGAAATTCTAGGATTCAGTAAAAAAGTTAAGGACTATCTGTCTTATTTCTGTCTCATATTTGTAAACTCACAGGTTTGCTGACATCAGTGTGCTCACTTGAAGTCTCTGGAATTTCTCATGAAGATGGGTACCTTTTGGGGCCCTTAAGGATGACAAGGGAGAAAATAAAATCGTGACGTTTTTAGTTGGCATTTAGTTAGCTTGTTAAGGTGCCTGTCCTTGGTATGGGTATAATAAAAGTTTCAAAAAATCTGGTCTTAGTATGACAATCAGGAAATCCAAAGAAGACCTGTGCATACTATGTTCCTTATGAGAATTTCACGCATCATTTTTTTTAAGTCAGAAAATCAAGTAGCAAATAATTTTGAGTTCGTATAAAATTTAAAGGATGAAATACAGCTGCTGAAGAACTTATCCATTGATGAAAATCGTATAACATATATGACTATGGGGCATTGCTGTTATGCCGGCATTTAACAAAAGTATTGGCTGAGCTGCTGTGAAATGCAGACCACCTTGGTCATCCATCTACACACACGCGTGGAAATTCTAACTCACGGCAATTCATTCAAGGTCGCACATTTACCTGTATCTAGGTAGAATCACTGAAAACAATTAAGCTTGATAATTGTAATATAAATTGAATATTAACTTACAGATTATCTTCTTGTGTCCCCCTACAGCAACCACTTTAATGGATTCTTATTCTTTCTCTCTCTATATACATGCATGCATCTAACACAGTTAATTAACTTTCAAAAATTACATTTTGCAATAGTCCAGCAACTAAGAAGTTGCGTTTGCCTGATCGTTTAATATCTAACACCAAAGGTAAATTTTCCCCTTGCTGACTCCTGGGCAAGGCTAGGAAGCATGATCATCAGAACTACTGAGACTGTATCTCAAACCATGTTAAAAATGCCTCTTTATAGAAGACTGGCATCACCCTGGCTCAGGAAGGCTGTTAAATCCCTCAAATTTAGTTTCTTAGACAGAAACAAACTGTGAGTTTTGACATGGCTATTTCTCCTTCCAGTTTATTTTCAGGGTGTTCGCTCAGAAGTTTCTTGGAAAGTCTCTTGTTTTGTTCCCTTGTGCTTCTCGTCATGTCTCTTAAAATGATAAAATAAAAGCAACTGTACTGAGGCCTTAAAATAAATATTTCCCACACTTTTCTACGCATGTTATTTCTATTCATAATTCTTAACTAAATTTAGATTTTTATTAATCTAATGTGACCTAAAATTTCTGCATTAACAGCACAATGTGGAATTGGGCTTATTCTCTTTGGCTACAGATAAAGCCATCATGTTGAAAATGGCTCTTTCTGACAAAAAGGTGTTCTTTTGAAATAAAGTCTTATTCACTACATTCCTCTTAGAGTTAATGTGAATTTTAGTGCCTCTAATTTTAGATTGAAGTGAAGTCTAGAATAAAACCCACCAGCTGACAATTGAATTTATAGATAGTTGTGAATATTTCAGGCTTGAATAATAGAGCTGTAGAATTTCAGAGACAGAGAGGAAGAGAATTAAGACCCGCTGTAGTTTTAGGGTATAATGTAATGGTGTCTAGGAAGTGTTCGGTGTAATGAGCTAAGTAGTAATTAGGAGACAACTGTGTTCTTTCAGAGATTCTGTTTAGGTGTCACTCCCAGCACTGGAGAGGGTGAGTCAGCTGAGGCCAACCTGCGGCCGGTGAGGTGGCCACCACGGCCCCTCTCTCCATGCTGAGGGGAGCTGCGCTTGTAGTCTGTTGATGGTGCTGTTTCTACCCCTGTTTGCTTGGCTTTAAAAAAAAAAATCAGTGAGCACCCTTAAAAACTCTCTGTTGGCTTCAAGATATTATTTCTGCATTGGAGTTCAGCATCAGACGTGAGTTCAAATCCTGACGTCCCTACTTCCTAACTGTGTGACTATCAGGACACCCTGTGTCGTCTGAGGCTCTGTTTCCTGAAGAGGAATACCCCCCTCGCAAGGTTGTCTGGAGGCTTCTATGAGGTGCTATTAGAGTAGGGTGCTCAGGTTGGCCCCTACCATAATGTCTGATAAATGGCAACGCTGACTGTTATTATTTGCACTGGGCAAAAGGTATAAATTAAGGCAGCAGCTCATTGTCCAAAAACAGACACTGAGACCCTACAGCCCAAATCCAGTTTGCTCAGATTCATTTACAGCTACAGCGTCCAGACCTTGTGCAGGAGACGATACTGCCGCCGTCCAGAGACTTCCCTGACTTCCTGGCTTCCGAGCAGATTATTGCAAAGTTAGGGACTGAGATTTTGGAGGGGACAGCTGGCTGGAGACTCCCTGTTTTTTTTTCAGGGACTCCAACAACAGGCGTTTGACACATAAACATTTGGTGACTTAGCCAATAGCTGTTCCATGCACGGGAAAGGAATTTTTGGCCTGGTTTCTTACTCAAGAGTTGGGCCTACTTGAGAGGTCCATGAGGACAAGCCTGAGGGAAAGAAAATTGGGATGCAATCGACCACAGATGATCCAAGAAGAGAGAGAGAGAGAGCGAGGAGAGGACAGGACAGGACGTGGTATATTTTGTGATCAAACCACCCTCTTCTAGAAAAAGGAAAAAAAAAAAATTAAGAAATAGTGCCTTGAAGGCAGATGGTGAAAGAGTTAATTGTCATCGCTGTGAGAAATTCAGTGCCAGGGAGAGGAAAGGGGAGCAACCACGTTTTAGTACCCTAATAACTTCTAACTCTAGTCCAAGATCATAATGTATGTGCGAGCAGTCCAGTAATTATAAGGTAATAAGTGAAGTGGTGGGGTAAGTGCTCTAAATTAAAAGGAATTCGCAGGGCTGCTGTAAGTCAGTGCCGACCCGCTTTCTTTCAAACGTTGACTTGAGGAAAAAGTGCTTAGCCCAGAGAGCAAGCAGGGAGACAGGGAGAGCGATCTATTAATTACAGCGCTCATTAACAGTGACGGGCACAAGGCAGCAGATGCAGAAGGGAGAGGACACCGTAGTTCAGGCTGGCGACGGGGATAATTTTTTTTCTTTCGCTAGCTCTTGAGGAAAGGACAACACAGGCGGGTGGGCGAGAGCGAGAAGGTATTTTTGTGGATTGCTTCTTCCTGTTTGCTTGCCTCCCATCCAGATACCATTTTACTTTAGAAAGCAGAAGGGAAAAAAAAGAAAAGAAAAAAAAAAAGAAAAAATAAAAATAAATAAATAAATAAATAAATGCCCAGGGTGCGGCCTACTTGTTAAGAGGCGAAGTTTTGCTTTTCCTGCTTTGCTTTCGAGGTGCCTTGCTTGGAACAGTTAAGCGAACATTCCCTCTTGGAGGTTTTTCTGTTTTTCTTCATTTTAAAGAAAACGGGACAGTGGGAGAGAGGGGTCCCGGAGGAGAACATGAAATTTGGGCAGTGATAAAATATCATTAGATATGTAGCGGGGGAGCTCATTGTATCACTTTGGTTATACTGTGAGTACTCCCCCAAATTCCAGTGAATGACCATTACCCTGTGCGATTCCTATAAATCACCTTTCCACTGGGAAGCAATTAGCTAAGTCCCCTTCTCAACTGTCACCTCTTCTTTCTCTAGCAGGCTCTCAGAATGTTCTTAGAGACTTGGCTAAAAGGGGTTTTGCACTATGGCTAATCGGAAAGAAAATAGGACCAATTATATCTTTTCATCTAATCACCTTTTCAGAAATTTAATCACTTTACGGTTCCAACAAAGAAAGAGGGGCAGTATGTTTCTTCTAGATAACATAGCTTGTCAGATTAGATGCCTCATCATATTTCCTTTTAGGAGGTGTGATGTTCAAAGACGAAAGGGAGGGGGAGAGGGGTCACCACAAACCTCATTTTTCATGAGAAAATGATACATACCTAGTTTACTGAATATAACACAAAGCATCAGATTTATGGACTCACAGGTATAGGAAGGCTCCCATGGCTTTTCTTGATTCATCTCTTAAACAATGGCAAATCACACATGCAAGCACACGCACATATGTATTAATCAGTGTTGGTGATGGTTTCACTGAGTTTTGTGGGCTCTAGGATATCATCCTTACACGTTGGGTGGAATTTTATACTTGAGGTCTTTCTCTATCCCTAAACAGCTATGAAATAGAGCGATTTAGATAAAGAAGCAAAGTGATTGAGGATATATTCCCTATGTGTCTTAGTCAGATCAATAAAAGACAGTTATGCTTATGGAAGCGTGTTGATAAACAGTAATTACAGAGCTGAGGAATCCTCGGTTTGGTCTCGAAAGTAAAAGTTTGGATTCTGCTGACAGTAAAATGACTGCGGCATGGGAACACGGAAGGGACAAGTAGAGGGAGGATAAATCCAATTTTGGAAATGATACACGGTCTTTTAAATCACTCCTCTTCCATGGGTAAATTTAGAATCTAGGATGTTGATTTAGATATTGACAGTGGTTCTCCAGGAGAAAGGTAAAATAAAAGGAATTGGACCCGTTAGAGGTTTTGTTTATGGCCTGTCTGGGCCCCCTGATGTAACCCTGTCATGCCCTTATGCTGATTACCTTCTTGTAGAACAAGAGATATCGACTAGAGAATGAATGATGTGTAATCCCAGCTCGTAGGCAGTGCTCTCAAAGAGCAATGTCTTTAACACATGGATTCTTTTTTTTTTCCTCCTTTCATCCTTCCCTGTGACTTTCTCTATTTTTTTTCCACTTTCTCCTTTTTTCTACCTCTTTTGGTCTCTGTGTTTGACACTCTCTCCCTTTCTCTCTCTCTCCGTTTGTATCTCCCTACATCTCAGGCTTCTCTGCAGAATGTCAAACAAAGATCGACACATTGATTCCAGCTGTTCGTCCTTCATCAAGACGGAACCCTCCAGCCCGGCCTCCCTGACGGACAGCGTCAACCACCACAGCCCAGGTGGCTCTTCAGACGCCAGCGGGAGCTACAGTTCAACCATGAATGGCCATCAGAACGGACTTGACTCGCCACCTCTCTACCCTTCTGCTCCTATCCTAGGAGGTAGTGGGCCTGTCAGGAAACTGTATGATGACTGCTCCAGCACCATTGTTGAAGATCCCCAGACCAAGTGTGAATACATGCTCAACTCGATGCCCAAGAGACTGTGTTTAGTGTGTGGTGACATCGCTTCTGGGTACCATTATGGGGTAGCATCATGTGAAGCCTGCAAGGCATTCTTCAAGAGGACGATTCAAGGTCAGTGTTGCACCTGAGGGTACCCTACCCTCTTCCAACCTCATGTGCTGGTTGGCTGGTTGGCTGGTTGGGTGGTTTTCCTTAATTCTTATCCTTGTTAATCAAGTTGTGCAGTCTTCATTCTGTCTTGAGTACAAAATAGAAATAGATTCCAATAGTTTGCGGAGGTTTTATAGAATAAACTTCCCCAGGTATGCCCCCTATCAATTCTGCTTTCACCATTAAGCTCTAATGATGGAATGATACTGAGCTTTGGGGCTTTGGGGGGGGGGAGACAAAAAAACAAAAAAAACCGCACTGCTGTTATCAGAGCAATGTGAGTCTGTATAGCAACTAAACAAATACACACTGGATCAGTAGTCTTTTTTTGCTCTTTGGTTCTTCTTGCAGATGATGGAAATAATAAATACTTTAGAGAAGTGGTTTTGAAACTTGGGCGGGCATCAAAATCACCTTGCGATCTGGATAAAATGCAGATCACCAGGCCCTACCCCCAGAGATTCTGACTCCTTACATCTGGAATAAAAGCCCAAGAATTTATAGTTCTAACAAATTCCCAGCTGATGCTGATGCTGCTGGTCCAGGAACCAGGTTTTAAGAACCACTACTCTAAACAAATATAACTGTCTACTACCTTCCTACTTTCCCTATGGTTGCATATACTTTCCTCACCTTTTTAATGAATTTGTAAAAAAAAAAATCTTCCAAATTATTCCTAATTATAAAATGTATCTGCAACATATATGAGATATACTCACACCTTTATGGATAACAATATAAATGTAGAAAAATACGGCTGAAATTTGTATCTGCTCCTTTAAGCTAGTAACTCACAAATACAGAGCTCCGCTCATGTTAAAAGCTGTAGATCTATATTCTTACAGGAAATTATGATTTTCACTTTTTAAGTGTGATGCACTTTTGAAGAAATTAGGGGAAGGAAAGAATAATTGTTTGTTGAGGATCCTCTGCTCCCCAGGGATTCTGTTCTTAGTGGTCTAGAAAATGTTTTCTTCTTAACAAGAACTTTTGGATACATGTGCCTTTTCCCACATATCAGTGATTCTCGTCCTTGCCAGCTCACTGGAATCACCAGGAGACTGAAAAAATATTGATGCCAGGGCTCATACCACTAAATTCTGAATGAATTGGCTTTAGGTGCGCACAGGGCGAGGTGGGGATTTTTGAAGCTTCCTACTTAATGCTCAGGTAAAGCCAAGGTTAAAAATCACCACCCACTACTGTGCTGGGTTCTATAAGTGGAGTGTTTCTCAAAGTATGGCCACTGAACCCACGGTATCAGTATCACCTGGGAATTTATTAAAAATGCAAATTCCCAGGCTTCATCCCAGATTACCTCAGTTGGTGTCTCTGGGGGTGAGCTCAGCTCAGCACAGTTTTTCAAGACCTCTTAAGTCTTACGTAATAGATAATCCAGCCTAACTTTTTCATAGCCTTTCGGAGTTTTAGCTGAAGAACACAAGCCAAGTTATGGAGTTCATAAGAAGTATGTAAATATTTTAATGTATATTTTTTATGTATCTTCATATTTTGTGGCTCATCACTGCCATATTTATTAGCATTTTCCGACACAAATCCTTCGTCCACTGGATCTTTCTTTTTTCTCATCTGTAAATTGAAGGCATTAATGCCTACCTCATGGAACGTTTTAAGGATAAAATGAAAAGTGAAATTGTAGGTAGAGTAAGTAAAAATAGTGGTGGTCCACATGCAGAGCTTCCTTAGACTCTTGGGCATTTGAAAAATATCTTGAGCCTCCTTACTAACATTGTAAAACTTGGAAATGACAACACAATTCAAATCTTTGGGTTCTTACTAGCCATTGTCCAGAGGTATTAGAATACTTTTATTGCAGAGTATCTAAAATTCACACTGTTAGTAATTTGATTTTGTTCATTCAGTTTATGCAGCTCTGGAATTAACTACGCAAAGATAAGCAAATATTTTGGGATGAATTAACAAATGCTGTGTATGCTGATATAAGCATGAGATTCTCACTAGGAAAACCTCTCCCCTTTACTCAACAAATATTTACTGTGAACCTACTGTGAGCCAGACATGAGTACGCTGTCTGGACAGTGTTAACATCTTTCTAACATTTTATTGAAGCTTTGTTCTCAAACATTTGTGCACCGAGGAGGATTCCTCTACCAGCCTCTCCTGTCTTGAGGGAATACCAAATTTTTAGGATGGGGGCAGCGGGTAGTGATTAAACTTCTTGGTCCTTAGTATTTTCCAAAGATAGAACAACTGTGAAACAAGTTCCTGATAGTTTTTTTTAAAATCATAGTGTTTAGATATTAATAGCTATGCAATAGTTATTTACTGAGCAATAACCGGAATAGAGCAATTGGAATTCTATGCCTGATTTTTCCTTAGGATGCTGAAATGCTACCAAAAGCTTAACAGAGCAAAGCACAGGGTGGTTCTTGGCATTGATGTATAGTGCTCAGTTTTACTCCATATTGGAGAGAGCAACTTTCAAGGATTTTGAGCAGGAGACAGAGATGTCACTGTCCAGATTAGCACTCTGGACTTGCCCACCTGGCTGTGTTTGTAGCTGGCAGCTGGGCAGCACTCCGTAAGGCTACCCTGCTAGCTACATCAGCAGGCATCACACCGTGGGCGCTCACTTAGCCCCAAAAAGGCAGTGAGGCAAATAAAGGGATTAAATTGTGAAAGTATAATGTAATAATTAGGGTGGTGATTGTAAGGAAGACTGGAACCGCCCCTCCTTTCTGCAAGTGTGATAGCGATTGAACGCCAAAGATAGGGAAAGTGGCCCCAATCTCTTGTACCATCACAGATTCTTACTCAGATGCTGAAAGGACCTAGAATCTATCCTCATGCCTTGAGGCAGCAGACAGCCAAACTATCCTTGACAGATAGTGGACTCTCCCTTCCCTCCCCGACAGCTCTTCAGGGAATAAGAGATTATGCAACTACCCTTAAGAGCAAGTCTTTCTACCCTTAGGATCAGGATATAATGTCAGTGTGGCTCCTACCCCACCAGCACCTGCTGGTGCTCTTACTGGCTCGACTCAAGTGACGTGCGCACCCAAAGGCATATTCATGGGCAGTATTTCCTCTTTAGACTCTTTATTTCCTGTTGCAACAATTTATTGTTAAGATTGGTTATGCAGTATGTAATGAATATCAATTATAAAAGTTAGGCAAAGTGCCTCTTGAATTTAGAACCAAAAGAACATATATCTGGAGCACATCTTATGAAAAGTAACAGGGGCACCTGGCTCAGTGGCATAGTCGGTTGAACGTCTGATTCTTGGTTTCAACTCAGGTCATGGTCTCAGGGTCATGAGATCAAGCCCCACATCGGGCCCCTCGCCCAGCAGGGAGTTTGCTTGAGATATTCTCTCTCTCTCTCTCTCTCTCTCTCTTTCTCTCAACCCCTCCCTCTCTCCCCACTCTCCCACTGCCCCTCCCTGCCATGTGTGCTCTCTCCCTCTCTAAAAAAAAAATTTAAAAAGTAATGAGAATTGTTCTTTTCAAAGATGAATGTGATATTCTGATTGGGAAAGGCAGTTAATCATAAACTTCAGTGAAAACCAACCAGAAAGGCATATTTTATTGATCGACCGTTTCCAAGTTATCATTGAAAACTGTTGAATTAGGTCAGCACTTAGGGAAAAGTCAAGGTGTTTTTGTTTTGTTTTGTTTTCTGCTGACCAAAACAGTTTTTTTTTAGAAGACTTTGACAGTCCTATCATCTGACAGGCTTAAAATGGCACCAGTGACTTCATTGCCACCTTCTAGGTTTTATTACTCTGATTTCTAATTCCAGTGTTAGTCAATTCATAAATGAGTGGGAAATTTTCTGTGTGTGGATCTTCTCTTTAAGAGTTTTCCCTGGATTCTAGTGAAGGAAGCAAGAGCAGGGAAATATCTTTATATGCCCCCCAAAATGTCATAGTCCATCATTTGACATATAAAATACTAACTCTCCATTTCTCCTAAGAACATAGAAGATAAATATTTATATATATTTGTATGGCTGACATCACTATTTCAGCTGCTCATTTCCGTGCAAGAGATAAGGCATTTTGTTTTTCCCCACTTTTATGAAGAGGAAATTATATATTCAAAAAACAGGATTTGGGGGCAGCCGAGGTGGCTCAGCGGTTTAGCACCACCTTTAGCCCAGAGCGTGATCCTGGAGACTCGGGATCGAGTCCCACATCAGGCTCCCTGCGTGGAGCCTGCTTCTCCCTCTGCCTGTGTCTCTGCCTCTCTCTCTCTCTGTGTCTGTCATGAATAAATAAATAAAATCTTTAAAAAAACAAACAGGATTTTTTTAAAAGATAATCATTATAGCATAGGTTTTTGGGTTCATATAAAACAAGGCCTAAATCTCAGCCCCTTAAGGGTGAGAGACCGGGGATTCATGGGTGGCTCAGTGGTTTGGCGCTTGCCTTTAGCCCAGGGTGTGATCCCGGGGTCCTGGGATCGAGTCCCACATCGGGCTCCCTGCGTGGAGCCTGCTTCTCTCTCTGCCTGTGTCTCTACACACCCCGCCCCCAGGTCTTTCATGAATAAATAAATAAAATCTTTAAAAAATATTTTAAAAAATTAAGGCTGAGAGACCTTGATATCACTGTGCCTGTTAACCAGTTGGGAAGATCTGTCAGAGTACTTGGCCCATAGTAAGTGCTCAATAAATTACTAACTTTGATTGCTATTGGCAATATGACTGGGATACGCAAACACTGGATGGTTCAGCTATTCCAGCACAAAGGTGTCCTTGATGCTGAACTAGGATGTGTAGCCTTCCTCAAATCACAGGTATCCACCTTATGCTGTGATAATTAACCCCCTCTCCTTGTAGCTATTCCTCACGAAGGTGCCCTTTTATACCAGGAGGCATTTAGGTGGACTGACTGGAAATTCGATTAGTTTTATGGGGATCAATTAACTTTTTTTTTTTCCTGTGGTCATGGATAGGAAACTGGGTGCATCAAAGT